GGCTGACGTTTGGAATCCAGAATCGGAAGACTCCAGAAACCAGTCCATGGCATGGATGAGGACTCAGAGGCCAGAGAGGTCAATGTTTAAAAGGCATTGAAACTAGATGGGCTTCTCACCTCTTGAATTGGGAGGTCTGATACATTTCTGTGTCTTCTGACAAGTGAGACAACTCCTGTTGCCTGCAGTAGTTTTCATTTTAATAATTAAAGACATATTCACTGCTGGCTCTCTGTTCGGTCTAAGCATGGCTTGCTCAAGTCAGGCTGTGGTTTCTCAGTGCGTTCTGCCTGACGGCCCTGCCACCAGCCCTATCTCTGATCCATAGTCCAATACCAGATGATGACGGAGACCTTTGTCTCAGAGACTCTAGGGAACTTAGACTCAGGTGGCTTAGTTCTGGACTTCATGACCAGGGTGCAAATACCAGAGCCCTGACCTTGGGTCGGGAGGCCAGCCAGTTGCCCACTGTCATGGAGAGGGTGGACGGCTGCACTCTGGGAACTGGGAGGGAGCCAGGCTTCCCTGTGCTCTCCTTGGGGAGAGGTTTTGCCACGCTGCACCCAGGGGCTCTGGGCTCTCCCCTCTTGATTCCTGCAGCCCAGGAGGAGCTGACCACTCACGCGGTTTCCCTCAGCTCTTCCCCGGTGCAGGCTGTGCAGGCTGTGCAGGATCACAGGGGCAGTACACAGACCAGCCACCTGGACTATTGCAGCTCAGGCTCCTGTCCCCAACCGCTGTGTGACCTTCCCATCTCTCTTTGTCACTCACCACTGCCAGGAGGAAAATCAAAGTGAAGGCCGACGGGGAGCACTGAGACCGCAGAGCAGGGCTGGATCGATGGTGAACCGCAGGGAGGTGTTTCCACTGCACCTCGCTCCGAGGGCAGAGATGTATCCTGTGCTCCCCGAGGTGCGTTGGGGGCCACAGTCTTGCAACTTGTGGAGTTTCCTCCATAAACTAGTTCTCCTCGCCTCTCCAGGGAGCCCTTCACTACCCCATCATCAGAGTCTGTGGGCAGGCCCAAAGCAAGGAGCACTTCAGCAGGCCAGAGTGGACCCCCAAGTGGCCCGCAGAGAGCCGTCCAGCAAGCGCTTCCACGGTGAAACAGCCAGGAACAGACCCAATTAGAGTGTGCGCGGCGGGGCCTCCCCCACCTCCCGGGGCCTGCGAAATCAATGGCTGTTAAAAAGTGCCGGCCATTAAGGAGCGACGGGGGACACGGGGCAGCATTTGTCATTGGTGTTCTGGGGCGAGCAGCTGTGATTAGGGGCTTGGAGACGATCATCAGCGTCATCCTCTCTGAGAAGCACTCACGGGGAGCAACATCAATCCGCTTATCTCAAAGCTGGGTTTTAAGATCTGATTTTCACAAAGATCAACTGTTTTCAATAAAAGAAAGACTTCAGTAGGTTTCCTGAAGATAATGGGGGATAAGCCCAAGCGGCCCTCGATCCTGAGAGCATCTGCCTATTAACATGGCTCTGTGTTCTGCAGGTGACACTGGGTGACAACAGGGTGTGTGCACAGAATCAAGGATGAGGCACATCCTGCCCTGTGGGCCTGACCAGTCCCACTCTGTGGGATTACTCCTTGCCCCACTTTGGGTGAAATTCAAACCAAATGACTTTCGGCTCATTCTTGAGCAGTAAAAATCCATCCACTCGTTTTCAGTCATAAAAGAGGTTTCGGATCAGCAGTTAAGTCTGAGGAGTCCGGGGCCATCATGGGAACTCCTGACCCCATTGAGAGTTCAGCGGGGCCTGCCCTGGTGTGTCGAGGTCACTGCAGTGGGCAGCAGAAGGGCTTAGCTCATTTTTAGTCCCCTCCTCCTCACCCTAAGCCACAGGATGGAGGCACAGGGGCAGGATCCCAGGGCCCCGCCTGGCCAGTTCTGATGCTCCGTTGACACAGTTTTCAGGGTGGCAGTGCTGGGGAGCCCCCTCTCTGTCACCAAAGCTGCCCCGTGGCTTCTCCAGACGCCCCCCCCAACACTTATCCCAGTTCTCTGGACAGCAACCTGCCACCCCCAGACTTCACTTCACCTGTGGCCACCCACGGTGCCCTCTCCCCATCCCCCTCCCTGGGCTGCAGGTGGGAGAAGAGCTAAGGTGGACATGTCCACCCTTCAGAGCCCCCTGGGCAGAGGCTGTGCCCTGGCCCACTGTTGGCACTGGCTGAGCTCCCACGTGCCCTATGGGGAGTGAGATGGGCGAGGGTGGCAAGGTGGCCTGATCTATGTGACGTCACTGAATGGCCTCACACCTGCTTTTTGCCTCTTCTCAAGGAAGGGACTGTTGTGGGCAAGGAGTGGTAGGACTCAGTACCGTTAAGTCCTTCAAGCAAAGAAAGGAGGCCGCCAGATGGAGACATGTGCCTGGGGTGGCTCGGACCTGCGGGAGCTGAGGACAGGTGTCCCCGGGTGTAGCATGGGGATTTGAGGATGTGTGCATGTGTGCCCAGGAGGCGGCTCTCTGCAGTCTCTGCCTGACTGCCACGCTGGTCTCTTGGCCTTTGTTCCTTCGAACGGCCCTTGGGTTTCTGCAGCACTTTCCCTTGGAGTCATGTGTCGAAGGACCACGCCTAGAGGCTTCCGTCTCTTAGCACCTGTCTGTGATGAGACCTTAGTGACTGCCGATCTGTTTTGTGGAGAAAGACAGGAATGAGGTTGGGGACAGAACCGCCCAGCGTGGACTCAGTGCCCCAGGGTCAAGGTCAAGTGCACCTGGACAAGGAGTGGGCTTTGGGGAGCAGCTCTGCAGAGTTGTGGAAATCTCGCTGCAACCCGGTGGCTCTGCCTATTGTCCTGAGTGATGATAAAATCTCTCCACTGCTCTTGGACTTACTGTCTTTACTCAGGCTTGGGCTTCCGCCCCCTTCCATGGAGACATGGAAAGGTGACAGTTCCTCCCAAGGACAATCTTTTCTTTTTTTTTTTGGCCTGGCAAGTGCTCTACCACTGCACCCCCAAGTCCATTCTTGAAATGGGACCTTCTCTGGCCTTGGCAGGCCTGGGTGTCTCCTGTTGGTGGTCACGGCTGCCCTAGAGCCCTGTGTTGGCAGAGCTGGCCTCTGTGTGGCAGGAGACGTGCCAGGAGAGGCTCAGCCTGGATGAGTTGTAGTGCTGGAGGCAGGGAGGCCATGGCACCAGGGACTCTGCTCTGCTTACTCTCCAGGGCTGGGGCTGAGGCCGCTGCTCCTTTAATAGCAAGAACCAGCCCTCTGCCATGGAGAGCCTGTAGGACAGCACCCGCTTCAGGGTGACGGCTGTGGACAGGGCTTGCTGTGTCCATGGTGTCCTGTGGCCTCATCCATCCATTCCCAGCTGGGGTGAGGAGTCAAGGGCATGTGCTTCTGCCCGGTCTGGACGCAGGGCCGCTGGGTCCTGGCCCAGTGTTGCCTGGGCTGCCGCTGCGGGTCAGAGCACAGCCGCTGCCTGAGCACCACTCAGTGAGGGCTTCTCGCCCCGTAGCTCTAGGAGGGACGCAGCTGGCCTCCCCGCTCTCCAGCCCCACCCTCCAGCCGCAGAGGCCCACCGTGGGCGTGGCTGCAGCCCCTGAGGCGTTGGGCTTCTGGCCCCTGCACACCTGTGTGCAGCAGGCAGTGGGGCCGCGGGGTAGGCAGCTGGCTGGAGGGAAGCCTGGAAGGCGAGGGAGGATTTGGCCTCCAACTCTGCAGCTGCTCCCCCTGCTCGCCCCCGCTCCACGCAGATGCGTGGCTCCAGGGAGGCCACAGGCACCAGTCCGCGTGCCTGTTTGCTTTTCTGTGCCTGTGTGTGCATGTGTGTGCGTGTGTGCACACACACGTGAGGCGACTCTGTCCCCCGATGCTCTTCTGTGGAGTGCCCCCTCTGGGCTACAAGGACTCGAGGCTAAGCAGTTTGCTGTCCCAAGTGGGCTGACCTTTGAGTCCAGGGACGCCTGCCAGGGCCTTCCCTCAGGAATGTTCCTCCTGGCGATGTGGGCAGGTGGTGGCCTGTTTTCCTTTTTAATCTTAGTGTGATCCGTCGGGCTCTTGATTCACAGTGTTGGCTGTCTGCACGATTTTGAGAGTAGGGTAGGAAGTTGGGGAGGTGAGATTTTGCATTTTTTTTTTTTTGGTACTTGGAGGTCTCGGCTTCCCTCCCTGCTTCCCTCACAGCAACCAGCTACTTTTCACCGTGTGGTGCGTCCAGCTCATGGGAAGGTGTCAGTGCCCACCTGGTGATGAGCAAACGGAGCTCTCCTGTGCTCCTGGCAGGGCAAGGCCTCGTCTGGCTCCTGATGGCTGCGCTCCCTGGAGAAGCCCCATCTCACGTTCTCCTGCCTCAGTGTGGGGCATGGGTCCTGACCATCCTCAGCTCACATTGCCTGGCCACCCGTGTGGTCAGCAGTGATTAGGATGGTCCTGGAGTCTTGAGGAAGCTCCCGGCTGCCCAGGACATGGGCACCTCTGGGAATTCAAGACAGCAGCCTGGTTGGCCCACACGCCCTGGCATGGCACCTTTGCTCTGGGCCCACTGAGCCTGTGAGCCATGGGCAGTGGCTGCCATTTGCTGGGAGTGACCTCATGGCCTCCCCTTGCCTGCTAAATCACCAGAACAACTGCCCCTGTCCTCGATGGTTCCTGTGGGGACAAGCTGACTCCAGGGCCTCTGCCTAGGGCTTACTCACCAAGCTTTCCAGTGGGAGGAAAGTGGGAGGCCGTGGATCCCGGTCAGCAGCAGCAGAGACACGCACAGGAGAGGGCTGCTCGGGGGTGGGCCTGGGTGTCAAGGTGCATGCCCAGCTGTGGCAGAAAGTGGCCAGCTGTGCAGGCCTGGCCTGTGACCTCTGCACACGCGGGGTCAGGACAGAGCCCCGTCACGGGGCACAGTGGGAACCCAGGCCTGCACAACGGCAGCAGACTGCAGAGTGTGTCCACAGACCTGAGCTCTCAGGGACCCTTTTATCTTTGGTGGCTTGAGTTTCAGAACCACTGTGGCAGTTGGGATGTTGATGACGGTTGCTCTGGTCCCACAGATAGAAGCAAAGAGCTCAGCCGAGCGCCCTGCCCCCCAGCCCTGATGCTGCACAGCGCAGAGAGCAAGAGCCCGGCCGGAGTCGAGGAGGACAAGGTGGGTCTGGCTGTGTGTGTGTGTGTGTGTGTGTGTGTGTGTGTGTGTGTGTGTCAGAGGCACCAAGCCCAGGGTCAGAGGACAGGCCCAGGGTGCCTACACCCACCTGTTTCCCAGGAGGCACTTATGGACTGGTTCTGTGAGCAGCAGCTGATGCAGCCCAGCATTTCAAGGGGAGTGTCTGGGAAGGGGCCTCTGTCTCTCCAGCTGGGCTCCTGGCTCCTGGCAGCACAGCCTGATGGGAGGGACTCGCTTCCTGCTCTCACCTTGTCCATTTCCGGAATGAAGGGGGATGCGCGAGGTGGTCCGTCCGTGTCAAGACGGGCTGCTGCAGCCCGGGTGCTGGTCAGAGTTAGATTTTAGCATCAGAGAAAAAAGAGAGCCCGAGGCACATGGATCGTTGTGAGATTGTTCTGATTGTAGGCCTTTCTCCTTGCCTGCTTGCCAAGTGGCCCTTGAACGACTCACCAGGATGGTGCCTTGGGTGTGTTTAAGGCTCCCAGTCACATGGCCTTTCCTCTGGATGACCCAAGGAACTCACTTTTGTCCCTGCATTTGAAAATACCAAATGGCACTGTGTCTTTCCTCATCTGTCTGACGTCCTGGAGCCTCCAGTCCAACTTAGTATCTCGCTCACCTTCTCTCTTGCTTTGTTGTCAGTCTTTCTGCCCCACAGCTCCCTGGGAGCTTTCCTTCCTCCAGGTCTCTGTGCCAGCTCCCTGTGGGCCCCAGCTGGGGACCTAATCAGCCTGTGCCCACCCCTGCTCACCGTTGTCAGTGTGGTTAGGGGGAACATTCACCACAGATGTTAGCCTGAATTACGTGTTTGCCCCGACCCGTGGCTCTTCTATAAGGGACTAGCATCGGAGCCAGAGTTCCATATTAATTACCAAGATGGCCTTGCTGGTGCCGCTCATAAATACCCGCTCTATCTCCAGTTCCTGAGTCTGGCTCACTCTCATTACTTCAGTGCGGAGCAGGAGTTTTATGCCATGATTAGCCATTTTTATCACCAACAGGAAATCATAACCAGCATGCGCCTCGTGGAGAAGACCTTGGTAATTAGTGAAGAGAATCCCAGCATCGCCCAATTTAAGTGTTCTTCTCCAACACAAATTACACCCTTCCATATTTACTTGAATAATTAGTGGAGGTAATCTAGTACTCAGAGACTCCTCGTTGAGTTCTATTGTTCAATTAACTTCATAATGAAAATCCCCTCCAGTTTCCCTAATTGGATTAGTAATATAAACTCTGGTCTTCATATATATTTTTTGAGACAAGTGTTTCTGAATACTCCTTGTTAAGCTAATTATTTATCCTGACCTTATTTTCTCATAGGAAAAAAAGATATTTTCTACTACACAAAGTTCTGAGGGGAAAAAAAAACCCACAATGATCTTAAGGATGGTTGCCTAAGTGACAAACCATTTGTCCAGTGCACTTATCAATCACGATGCAGCCGAGCGCAGAGGGACACGGGGAGGAGTGGGGCTGAGGGAGGCTCCTCTGGGTTCCCAGACCGCCTCGGCCCTTCGTGTCCTGCCCTCGCGGTGGGTCTCCTGGACGGGCTGTTCTTGCTAACGTGGTCAGCAACAGGTTTACCTCTGTGGGCATGTTTTGCTGTTGGCTCTCCTGGCTCTTTGGGGATCTTTTACTTCTTGTTGAAATGTGATGCTTTTGTGCTTCTGTAACTTAGATCTTCTTTCCTAGCAGCATGAGCACGGAGTCCATCTGGTTTTGTTGGCCAGGTGGTCGGCCGTCTGTCTCATCTGACTCTCCCAAGTAGCCATGTCACTGCTGTCAGAAACACGGATTCCAAATGTGAAGATGGCAACCAGTTTGTTAAAACTCTGAGCTCAGAACTGAAGTGTGGCTGGGTGATGCAAGCAAGGTACCTGTTAAGCCAGCAGAGAGGACACCACCTGGGCCACAGTAGGTCTAGATCAGAGGTCAAAGCTATGCAAATCTCTGGGGAGGCCGAAAGTTCCTCACCCCTAGAGTGGACTTGACTCTGTGGTTTGTTTGTTAGTCAATCTGAAGCTGCAGGGGGCTTCTTTTTCCTTACTTCCTCCTTGTGCTTCTCAGCTCCAGGTGGAGACGGTGCAGTAGCTATCTGAACAGAGAGCTCACGTCTGGAGCTCCCACACAGAGAGGCACAGTGTCTGTGCCTTGGCACTGCATTCCTGTTGCAGTTAGGACTGTCACATTTCCTTATTTCAAACAAGTGATTTCCTCTCCAGATTTTCCCAATCATAGTTGTATTTTTCTTTTTTAATTTTAGGGAGTAAGTTTTCCTTGTCTTCCAGGTGGTGTAATGCTCAAACATTCCTCGCTTTCCAAGTGGGGTAGAGACAGAGTGAGGCTTTTCACCCCTGGTGGGCCATCAGTACCCCTGGGGTCCCGCCCCAGCAGACACACCCCGGGGGCAGGTGTTACCCAGGAGCCACCCCATGCTGAAGGGCCCAGCTGTCATCTGAGAATGGGGGCTTGTTCTCTTCCTGCCATAGCAGACCTGAACTGCCAGGTCCATCTGAGTCTGGGGTCCTAGTAGCTGGAGATACTGCCACCTTATACAGGTTTTTGGTGACATGGTGACTCCAGACACTGGGACAGCTCATTCCCAGAGATGAATCCTTTGGGATTTCTGTGCCACAGACGTTGGGGATTGGAAGCCTCCTCGGGGCTCTCTGTATGTCTCTGATTGATTCTGGAACGGCATCTCTGGATGGTTAGGGGCACCTGTGCTGAGTTATTGTTTACGGTCAACTGTGTTCTTAATTCTGTCCTTGGTGCCACTGCCCAGCCCTGATTTTCTGCTCTAGCTGCACTGAGAAGGTCATTATCCAGTGGCTACTGAGGGCAGACTCTCAGCGGGAGACGTTGTAGTTCTTCACTCGGATGCTGAAACTGAGGGTGAGTGTTTACAATTACGACAGTGCTCTCTCCTTCTCTTTCTGTTGAAGGAGCCTCCATCCATGCTGGAGAGTGGGGAGGACAGCACCCCAAAAGGCAACAGACCTGTGGCCTCCACCCCGGTGCCTGGATCCCCCTGGTAAGATGCCCCCAAACCCCAGAGCAATGAGAAATACTATCCTGTCGCCCTGGCTTTGGTTGGTGCAGCCAAAGAGGAAACGAGAGCCTCCCAGGTATATTGTGTTTTAATATATGAATCTGCAACTCATGGCAGGTATAATCTACACCATTGTCACATCCTGCAGAAAGAAAAACGGCACTTAAGCGATAAGTTCTCCTGCTCTGATGTGTTTGTGAATGTGTATAAAACAGTAATGCTGCTGCATATAGATCAGGGGGAGCAGCAGCCTGACGTGGGTGCAGCTTGCTGAAGCTTCAGAGGGTTTTCTCCCCTCTCCTCCAAGAAAAAGAACACGAGCTGCTGTTAATTAAAGATGCGCCAGGCTCCCTCCATGGCCTGTGAGGATTCCTGATCTTTGAGTGTGCGATACTCAAAAATACCCTCCACCGGGGAGCCACAGTCTTTGGTTTTTAAAAGTGCCCTTTTGTAATGGAGTAATTTGGAACCAGGATAAAAAGGTTATTATAGAAAAAATTAAGTTTTAAAACCTGAAGATGAGAGCGTAGTGCACAGCTGAGAGGAACAGATCAGGGAGAGACCAGAAATGGCCCCAGCCGGAGTCAGTTTACATGCCATCCAGGCTCAGAGAAGAGACCTGCTGGCCACCCGCGGGACTCCCCAACTCCGCACACTGCGTGGGAGTGCCCCTGTGACTGGCCTCTCTGCCTGTGGCTGTGCCAAGGCCACCCGTTGATGATGCAGACCCGCCTGCCTGGAGAGTCCACACCCCCTCCTTGTTGGTGGCCGTGGTCAGGCCTGCAACAAGGTGACCTTGGCTCTCTGCCCTCAGCGGAAACTGCCCTGTGCCAGGAGCACCCTGGGGAGCAGCTTCCCAAGACCCCGGGTCCTAGGGCCCTGGTGTCTGCAGTTCAATCTGAGTGTACCACAAGGAGTATGGAGGTGGCCTCAAACCCACAGCTCAGGGCCCTCACAGGCCACTGACAGCAGATGCTGGCTGCAAGTGGCCCTAGCAGGCCACCTACACTTCCATTCAGGTGACCACAGATTCAGGGGCTCCCCCCACAAGCCTCAGCTTTGATGATGATTCTCTAGAGTGGCTGGCAGAGCTCAGGAGAGCGCCATGGTGACGATCACGGCTGACCACCAGGGACATCGCAGCCAGATGGAAGAGATGCACAGGCAGGGACCTAAAGCTGGTGTCACCGCCCTGCGCACAGGCACCTCAACATGTGCACAGCCCAGGAGGACCCCCAGATCCCCAAATGGGTGGCGTGTCCTTAATAGGCATGATTTGAAAAGTCGCTAACCAAGTGGCTACTCAGCCTCAGCCCCTCTGACTCCCCTGGGAGACTGGGGAGGGGCTTGCTCCAGGGCTGATCTCTGGACACCAGCCCCCAACCTGTACTCTCCAGGCCTTCAAGTTAGCAAAACTCAGGTGTGGTCAGGGGGGCCTGCCTGTTGGGAGCTGCGAAGGACCCTCCTCCCTCAGCAAGCCCGGCAGTCATAGGAGCTCTGGGCCAGGGGCCTGGGGGACGGACCGTGCACGTGGACCGAGTGTATCCCCTCACACACGACACTCATGCTTTGTGGGATCTTGGATACCAAGCTCTGCCAATGGGAGCCTCAGGGGCAGGTGCACTGCAGCCCATCACACTGACACCCTCTGGACCTGTCACAGTTCTGGCAGAGCTCCCCGGGGGATGGTAACTACAGGAGTGACCTTGCACTCTGGGACATTCCAACGGTGAAAACTGCGGTTTTCCCTCATCTGTGGTGTGGTGCTACACTGCAGGATGCTAAGCAGGACCCTGGAAGTCAGCAGGGCCCCTGATCTGGCCCAGCCTGCTCCTGGGGCTCTCAGTCTGTGAATCAGAGATCCCTGTGTGAGCCTTCTTGCCTTGGGTGTCCCAGGATCATGACAGGAAGGCGCCCAGTTCTGTGTCAGCAGCTGTTTGGGGTCAGGAGTAGAGTGGGGGCTGGACACACTGGGAGGGAAGACCCTGACCCTGGGAAAGACTTCTGAGAGGGGAGCAACCAAGCACAAGTACCTCCGGTGGTGGAGTGAACAAGCACTTGGTGCTGGTACTGAGAACTCCCAGGTTAGCAGAGTGGCTGGGTCAGGGCCATGTGCCTGGGGGTGGCCTGGAGAAAACAGGAGGAGCTGTGGAGGCCAGACCCGCAGACTGCTGGTCTTCTCATCGGTGATGTGTTCTCTCTGACCAGCGGTTCTGATGGAGAAAGGGACTCTGCAACAGAGCCCAGCGGGCAGTGGACGTGTCCTCCTGCTCCGGGAGAAGAGCTAGACACCCACACGTGCCAGGAGGAGCTTCAATCTGTGGAGTGCACTGTGTGAATCAGAACCAGGCCACTTTCTGGGCCTGGGCAGTGTCACAGGGGTGACCGTCAAGCTGCCAGTGCCTCTCCAGGGCCCTTCATTGTTCCCTCTATCTCAGGAAGCCCGAACCCGAGCCTCTGGCTTGGCTGAGCAGCCCTCCAGCTAAAGGAAGAGCCCACATTCCTGAGGCCAGGTCTGCACTCCCCTGCCAGGTGCAGGGGCCTTGCTATGTGGGGCGAGGGGCAGCCAGAGCCCGCTTCTCCTGCTGTGGCCAGGTGTGTGGAAATGACAGCCTCATTCGTGTTGGCATGGCGTACCCTGCCTCTTCCCCACGCCGCCATCTGCCACCAGGAGCAGAGCTCCTGCCACCAGGGCTGATGCTGTTTTGTCACTCTATATTGTCACTCACACTCTCCACTGTGAGTCTCTCCTGGGCTTTGCTGATGTGAGGCTTGACCCAGCCAGGTGCTGAGGCACAGGGGGACAGGCAGGTGTGGCTCCATCACTGGCCTTCTTTCCTGCTGTCCATGTGGAAGAGCCCTGGCTGCAGAAGGCTGCCCTCATCCTGAGGAGCATGCTCCAGGGTGGCCCTTGGACAAGTAAGAGCACAGGAGGTCCCAGTAGGGTGGCTGACAGCCCACCAGAACTGGGGAGGCATTTGGGATGAGCAGGGCCCCCATCGACGGCTCCAGCCAGAGACACTGCTGCCCGTTACTGCCCAACTGAGGGCGCTCTCGGCCTTCATCTTGGCAACGGAAGCTCAGGCCAGGAATCTGACCTGTGTGGCTCTAAAGGTCTGGCCTGGCTGTCAGCAGGCTGCAGTCTGCCTGTCCACCCAGAGCTGCCCTCAGACGGTCACTGTAGCTGCTGGTGGGCAGGAAAATATCTCATACTTGAGGATGAGTGGGCAGGGGATAGGGGAAGGGACAGGTCCCTGGAAGTGGAGCTCCAGGACACCAGGGAGTCCCTGGAGTACTGTCCGGTGGCAGGTGGCAGGACGGCTGGCAGGAGCTCTGACTAGCCTCTTGCATCTCGGGGAATCTTGTTTGTATTCGTCCATGGTAGGGGATGCCCTCTCGAAGGCTCTCCATGCCAGTCAAGTGCCAGCTGGCTCAGCAGGCCGGGGGGGGGGTCCAGGCAGCCCCCTCAGGTCAGATCCCGGGAGGAGGCTGGCAGCAGAGCTTCCCATTCAATCTCCCACCTCCTGAGGAGGCCTTGGCTCCTGAAGGGTCCACGTGAGCAGGGCTGGTGTGGCTCAGAGAGGACCGTCCTCCGCTCAGAGCTGTCCAGGAACAATTGCAGTCCCAGGAGGGAAGAAGACTTGGAACCCACGGGAGTGAACATGCAGTGTTTCTCGTTCTGGGCTGACATCGTGGTGGCTTCAGAGGACACCAGGTCAGCCGGGCGCTAAGCCCCAGGCGTGTTTGTGGGAAGGAAAGCGCTTTTGAGGGAAATGCCACCCAGTTCCTCTTCTGTTTTCATCCAGCCTGTGGAACCCACCCTAGAAGGGGATGAGGTTGTAAAACTGACTGACAAGTGGTGAGGGGAGAAGGGGCATTTGTCCTCCTTCTCCGATGGGGGCTCTGTCTGTGCCAGAGAGCCACCTGAGGAGGCTATGGAGAGCCACCTATGGAGGGCCACAGCAAGCGGTCTGCGCTTAGTCATTCCTCCTGTGTGGGACTCCCTCTGACACCCCAGCTGCAGGAGAGCTGGCCAGATGCACAGGCTCCCTGGACATATTATGTAATGCTGAGCCCTGAGAAATGCACATCAGTGCCTGTCGGTGGATCACGATGGAGTGGGAGCCATCTACTCACTCTCCCCTTGCTGCCTGTGCCAGTTAACCATTAGAAATGGTTTCAGAGTCCAGAATAACTTCCTCAGCCAGCTCTGCAATTCAGAAAGGCATTTAGCCTAACACTGTTGGATGGTTCCCAGGGAGAGGCAGGAAGTGCAGGGTGTCCCCCCACTTCTGTGCAGAGCGGCCAAGAGACCCTGAGGAGAAGGCTGAGATTCTGGAGTGGAATTTGAATGACTTTTTCGGATCTGCTCTGTCTTTAGGTATGTCCATAGCAGAATAGCACTGTTTCAATCTCTTAGGAGATTTCTATTTCTCTCCCCCTGCTCCTCCTCCTCCTCCTCCTCTTTATAATTTGGCATTTGCTCCCCATGGTAATTTTGAAGGAATTAGACCACTCTTTCATTGGAGGTCATTAAAATGTTTTTCTTGGTGGTGTTGATGTCACAGGGAGGTTGCAGAGGTAATTGTTAAACAAGGGTAAAATCCATGAGCTTTGGGCTTAAATGACAATAAATGTCAGCAAGGATGATTAAATAGCACCTTAAAAATTATCTTAAAAATTATGGATGTACAAATAATTAGCTGGCCTCATAAAACTGAAGCTATATATTGAGCTTTGGTTTTAGCATCATAGCCTTTTCTGAAAAATTCAAATTGTAGTGCTCAGTTAGCCTGATCTATTAATAGCACAGCATAGAGTATTTTTTAAAGTGAAGAGGGCCAGTGCGCTCCCAGGACCAGCAGCCCCCCCCCGCCCCCCGCGGCCGTGGGGAAGGTGGTGTCTGAGAAGTTGCCTCTCCTGGCAGAACCGATTCAGGTTTCTGGCCTAAGAAGCGGAGGCAGCTGGACTTCTCGAGGCTG